TAATCTTGATGCGAACATGTCTGCTTCAGGCTTAAACCAGGCATCACTGATAATTTGAAAGCTGTTTTCTTTCAGGTCCCATTCAGAAAAATCATGTTCAGTTCGACTTTGATAGTCGGCTTCACAATTCAAACGACCTGGAATATACGAAGCAGATAATGTAATTCTTTTCTCAATGGCCCATAAATACATTTCTCTTGTAATTTCATGATATTGTGGTACTTTGCCACCTTGTGAATTAACATATGCAACTGCTGTGGTGTTGTCTATTCTTAATTGAATATGCATATCATTAAGATCTTTGCCAAAAGTAAAAAGTGAATATTTTGCAGCCAATAATTCCAAGTGATTTATATGTTTTAGTTTCTCAGTTTCAGACCAATGTCCACCAGTGGACTCATATACACCACCCCATGCCAATTTGGATGCATCAGATGTAATTATTTTATCAGTTTGTTTATTTAACATTGACTTAGTTTGAGATTCAATATTTTCAATCCACCATGTCAAATCAATTTTGCATTGCTCACTAAGGGCAACTTTAGCCTCAAATTTCCCTTTATGGACCTTAAGCATTTCTGTTTTAAAATTATCTATTCTTCTATAGAATAATGGACCAAAATACACTCCTGGAAAGGAGGACACCATGAGCCCTACTACTCCAGCAATTTCTCTGATGGAAACTAGTTTTGAACTTAATAATTTCTGACATGCTATCTTTAGTTTTGATACTTTCTCTGAAGTAAGCCGTACACTCATTTCTACTGAGTTTAAAGTAAAACCAAGGTAAATTATTACTTGTGAAGGTTCTATGACAGATTTAACAGGATGCACTGTGAAGCCGGCCTGTATGGAAGCTTTGACTGTGGCCATAACATTTAATTTTGCATCATCTAGTGAATCTCCAATTAAAAGTGAGTCATCAATAAATGATGTGTTGATGTGACCCAATTTCCGCAAATAGGAAAACAGAACCTTGGTAATTTTAGTAAAGGTTCTTGGAGCTGACCCTAACCCATTAGGAAGGCATGTAAATTGGAAGAGCATATCTTTCCAAACAAATTTAAGTAATTTTCTATCTGAGTTTCTAATATTAACGGAAAAGTAAGCATCTTTCCAATCCACTGATGCCATAAAGCAATTAGGTTTAATTAAATTGATTGCATGCTCTAAATGTTCCATTTTGAAATGTTTGTAGATAACCTCATCATTTAATTCTTTTAAATCGAGGATTAATCTTAGCCCCCCATCCTTCTTTTCTCTAGTAAAAATGTTGGAGATAAATTCTCCCTCTTCATGATAAGTTCTTTCAATAATATTTTTCTTTTCCAATTCTAACAATTTAATTGATATGGCTGCTTGTTTCTCTTTAGGAAACTGAAAAGGGTGGTTGAAAGATAATTGGCTTGGATTATTAAGGAGTTCTATATTACAACCTAAAATGTTTGTAATTATGTTCTTATCTGATGTAATTTGTTTCCAGAATTTGATATGCTCTTTCAATTTTCCAGCCTTATAATCTAGT